ATCACCAGCTCTGCCAGTGGCACTTCTTACATTAAAGGGAAAGGGAATCAATAAAAATGTGACTAGTTGTTCTATGGATTTTAACCCACCTGGACCATACCACCGCTCCTCCATACCTAAAAGACATTTCTGTTTCAATAACTAAACCAGGGGACTCAATGTACACTACACCCTCAGAGAAAGATAACAGCCCCCCTTCGATCTAAAAAGGGGAGCACAAAGCCCGCCACACAGGCCACCATGCCATTGAAAGTAAGTACAGAATTTCAGCATCCCTAAGTGTGGTAGAAGTCCATACAGAAAGGCAGTCAGGCGTGAGGAAAAAAAGCTCCAGCAGCTTTCCAGAAAGCCTATAAATAATCCTCCAACTTACAGTGACTTCAATAAGGTTTCCTATTTCTGTCTCTCCACCTACCAATTTTCTGAGAATTACATGTTGGGCCAAATGACTGTCAAGCCTAGGAAGAGCGACCCTGAAGCTAGGGTGGCTCTGTCGTGCAGTGAGCTCGCACATACCCAACAGTGCTGTGTTTCTGGGGCTCACGCCCCAGGGTTACTAGCTCTTCAAACCACACTACATTCCAAATGATCCCTCTCTTTTTCAGAAAGTCCAAGACAAAACTTAAGAACAAATAGCACTAAACAGTAAACATCAAATTTCAAGTTTCAAAAGAAGCTCTTAAAACAAATAGCTTCCTCCACTTAAAAACTACAGCCTAATGACATTATAATCAGAAAATGACGAAACATAATTTCTGTCACAATTCAGTTTCCGACTCTCCGCTGAAAGAATGGAAGGGAAAGACAAGAGAACCATCTAAGTTTTAACACGCTCTGACTGAGAAATGGTACTTTCTTAAAAATATCAGGAACAAAAGCATCTATACAATTTAGAGAATTTTTAATTTGTAAAAATGCATCAAGGCAAGCACCACAAATCCCAGAATAGGATATAGGAAAGCACACAGACACTCAAATTTATAGATAATAACACTTGGTGTACAGTAACATGTGCCACCAAAGTATAAAATAATGTAAAATGACTTCAGCTGACAGGAGTATACAGCCAAAAAAAAAAAAAAAGAGCTTTTGGAAAAGCATTCATATCTCAACCCCAGAAGGAGGGAAATCAACAGTTCTAACCTTACCTGTGCCAGAACTTTGGAGGTGGCCAGTTATGCTCAGGGTCTTTCAGTTAACGGAAAGTTTCACGCGGCTAGAATCTCCATACACATCTACACACTCTTGCTTCCTTCTGCCCATGGTAAGCCAGGAAACAGCGTCTAAGACTTCCAATGCCCGGCCGTTATGAGCTAAAAACAGATTCTGTGCAGTGCTGGATGTATTTCTGTCTGCTAGCTACACACCCTCATCATGTTCAATTTTTTCCATTGGTGGAAGAGTATGATGCAGACTTAACCAGAAAGTGGTTTTCCACGGGCTGCCTGGAGTGATTAGCCAGGAAGGCCTGCCATCAGGCCTCAGAGACACCAGGCTGCCCATGACTGGGCCCTTGTTGGACCCACATTCCACAATGACCACTAAAGTTCCATAGGAACATGGCTCCAAGCTTTGCTGAATAAAGGTTTACTCACTTCTTTTTATAGGACCTCTGCAGTAAGAACACACACCTACCATCCCTCCCTGTGTTTAGGCCGGCAATAAACATCCTGCTCCCTAAACCACAGTTGGAATGTTCTGGTCACAAGAACAGCACTTCAAAATTACTTTATGATTTACAAAATATCTCATGTACGTTCCTTACTGGAGTTAGATCACTTTTAAGTCAGCTGAATGACAGTGTCTAATGTTGGAAGGACAGTGTGGTTACTACCACATTGAACTATTTTATCAAAATATATGCATTAAATTTCCACAAGAGACTCAAGAGTATTTTTCAGTTTTGCTATATTCTTTTATAAACCTAAAGCATAAGAAATACCCAAAAAGATAAAGCAACATTTTCAGATTATCTTATATTGGGGTTCTTGTCTTAGGGGAAAAAGGGGTACTGAATGGGAGGATAGAATCGAATGTCTACTATAGTACTTAAATTTCAGAAGGTGTATTCCAGAAAAGAAAACAGGAATTTGGCCTTATTAGTCCCTCTACCTCCAAGTACTGGAGTTTGAATTCAGAACCCTGTGCTCTCTAGGCAGTCAGGATACCCCTTGAGCCATGCCCCAAGTCCCTGAAGAAAACCATTCAATTAGCAGTTGATAAGTTGTAAGGATTCTGAAAATACGAGCAGGCAACTCATCCCAGACAAACACCAGGCAAGAGTTTGAGAAGATCATATTTCATTTATTGTAATACATGAATGGATCTATGTATGTAACAGACAAGACTCTTAGTAAATATTTAAAACCATATAAAACAGACTCTGTTGGGGGAGAGGCGTGAGTGAGAAGGGGCTAAGCCAACAGGGTGGGGGGAGTGCATGAGGATGAATATGGTTGAAGCAGTTTATCTGCGTGTATGAAAATTGAACAATGCAACCTGCTGAGGTAGTTTTAAGAAAGGGGCAAGGACTAATGGGGAGTGATGGAAGGGAAGATATTGATTAGGATACATTTATGCATGTGTAGAAATGTCAGTGAAACTTCACTTTGTATAATATATGCTAGTAAAAAATTTAAAGACCAAGTTCCAATTTTTTAAAAAAAGCGTCACAAGGGAAGGGATGACATTGATCAAGATGTGTTATACTCATTAGTCGACAGATTTGAATTGAAACCCCTTTGTGCTACTTAAAAATATGTCCTTATGTATATCGAAATACTTTATATACAAGCACTCACACATACACAGTGAAGTAGAATTCCTCTCCATATGTAGTTTGAGACAGACTTGAAGACATACTTTCTCACCTCAACTGGCAATAAATAAAAGTCATTACATGAAACTATCAGCCTACGTTATAAAAATCAACCTAAGAGACAAGAAAACTTAAATATGAACCTAAAACCAAGAAACTTTTACTGCTGGTGAGGTAGATTTGAAAAATTACCTATTCCAATGCCCTCTCCTGACAGATAAACAGAGGCCTTAGTGACTGTACAGGTCACCAAGCTGCTGAGTGGCCAGCAGCGGGTCAAGGCCACACCGCCCAAGGAACCACAAGGCATGGTATTGAAGTCAGAAAGTTGCTATGGAGTCCAAGTCACAACACAAAATGTGGGAATCTCCAAATACCCATTTGATGTGTGTGTCTGTGGGTGTGCATATACACACACATTAAAAAGAATGTAAGCAAATATGAAGAATAAGAAAGCAATAAGGTCATCAAGCTCTGATTCTTCCACACCTAACAGCATCATTTCTGTTACTTAAAAACAAAAGAAGCCAGGCACTGGTGGCTCACATCCATAATCCTAGCTACTTAGCAGGCTGAGATCCCAGAATCATAGTTCAAAGCCAGCCTGGGCAAGAAAGTCCATGACTCTTAACTCCAAATGACCGATTATAAACCAGAAGTGGAGCTGTGGCTCAACTGGTATAGTATCAGCCTAGAGTGAAAAAGCTAAGGGACAGCATCTAGGTGTTGAGTCCAAGTCCCAGTACTAACCCATTACCCCCCCCCCATACACACACACACATGCACACTTGTGTGCACACACACAGAGAAGATAAAATATTAAGTAGAAGAAAACACAACTTTAAGATAAGAGGAGTCCTAGGTATGATGGGAAAAATAATGGCAGACGAAAAGGAATTTAGAAGATAGGTTTCTGAGGAGGAAAGAGTCTCAGGGAACACTGAGCTGCATGGAAACTCCTGCATGTCCACATCATACTCTAAGATCTTAGGGAAAATTGGCCCCTCTGATATATTTTCTATGGTGGATGCCTACATACCTGAACCACTTGTCAACGAATGCATTATCTCTGACATTCCTCACAAATTTCAAATATTTTTATGGTCTGGTTCTATTTTTTAATTACTGAATTTACCCAAATAATTTCAGTTCCATGAATTTACAAAGTCACTTGGAGTTTCAAACTGTGGAAGAAGGTTTTACAAGCTCTTAAGGCTTTGAAACTAGAATGAAATACTCTCAGTTTAGTTCTAAAAGCCAGCCAGTTTTCCAATCATAAAACTAGACTTGGTCTTCTTAAAGCTTCATTGTGAGATAAAAATATAACAGGACATATGTGTTAACAAGCATCTAAAATTAAATTCATTGGCAAAGATCTCTGAAAAAAATATGCAAATGACTATATTTGAAACAGACAATGCAAAATGACAGTTGAAAGCAAGTATAATTAAGTGTTAACAATTACAGAATTAAATAGTGGGTTTGTGGGTGTTCAGCTCTTTGACTTTTCTGAATTTTTTACATTTTTCTTTATGAAAGGTGAGGTAAGGGGCATATGCGCGCACACACACACACACACACACACACACACACACACACACACACACACAATCCAAGAAAAATACCATGTTTTACTACATGCTTAGCCAAGACTAAATACTGTGCCAATTGTTGCTACCCTGATTATAATCAAAGGCGTGAATAATTAATACTATGTGCACATGTATGTGCTCCTGAGGGGTTTTGTGTCTATCAAGACAAGAGTCTTTGTCTCCTGAGCTTGCCTTATCTTACACTTCCAGCTAGAAATTATACTCTAGATATTCTCAGGCTGGATGTTCTACTTGGTTTTAAGTTTAAGCATGTGCTCGATCAGTATCTGTCATCCAAGAGCTGGAAACTCCAGCTCCCTGGACCATATCTTTTCCCCAGAGAGCGATGGATGAACTAGCATTTTTCCACACCCAGTGGCTCATTCAGCAGAATCAAGAACATTGTGTAAAGGACACAGATCATGGCCCAGTTGGCTGCAGTTCTCAGCACTAAGGAATCTACTATGGCATTCCACACCCAGATCCTCACACAAGCAGCAGGTAGAAGCTACACAGGGATGTGATGATCCAGTCAAGAGATACAGACCGACTTGTGTATACTTGGAGACACACAAGGGTCTCAAACATACCCACTGAAGAAGTGTGGAGGGAGGACTCTACTGTAATCATGAACTCATTCATTCATCCAGAAGGAGCTGGCTAGAAGCACATCTGTCATCAATACACAGCTCTGGTAACAGAAAACAGATGTAGAAGTAATAAGATACAACTCTTCAGAATTAGAATTAACGTACAATTCTTTGGCACTCTGTGTGACACAAGAAGGGAGGCTCTGATGCTGGAGGTATGGCTAGGTTGGTAGAATGCAAGCCAATGAGCAAAAGAATCAAGTACTGAGTTCTAGTTCTGATCTCGGACATAAAAGAAAAGAAAGAAGGGAGGCTCTGAAAAAGAAATCAAGGGGTAGGTGACAACAACCAGAGAAGGAGAGTTACTGTTTCATCCGATGGCTTCATATGGCTGAGCAACTCTATAGATATACATGGAAGGAGAGAGGAAAGGAGCAAGACCAAACGAAAGTGGAGAAGACAGATACAGATAGATGACAGATAGACAAGAGAGGGAGAATACACACTAGATGACCATATACAATAAATAGATAGATGAATAGACAAAAAAGGTAGACATAAATGATAGATTTATAGGTAAGATACAAAGACAGCCAACAAATGATCATCCAATAGATAAGATGAGCAGAGTAAGCCTATTGTTACCAAGAGATATAAGAGGGAAATTCTCTGCTCATTTTCATTCAAATGGAGAGAGGCAGTCAGAAAAATTAGAGGGAAAAAAAAGCATGAAAAACTTCATATGAGACATAGATGCAGAGATAGATGGTTAATGAGAGTGAGTAGCACAAGTTTAATTTAAATTGGAAACACAGGAAATGGCTCTCTGAAATGAGAGTAGGCCAAAGCTAGGGAAAAGCCCCCAAGTGAAGCAAGGATCCAAGATCAAGTAAGAACCAGTACATAGTCACTGAAGCCAAATGTTCGGTTACAACAATGATTCATGTCATAGAAATATAACTAGATGGACTGGAAGTAATAACTTTCACTTACAGGCTCATAGTAAATCAGAACACAAATGTACAGAGACCTTTTTAAAGTCACAAGAGATGTTAGCCTCATGCTTGATAAGAAATGTACTCATTACCTTGCTCATGTAACTGTAACCCCTCTGTAAAGTATTTTTACAATAAAAAATGTAACCCCTCTGTTAAGTATTTTTACAATAAAAAACGTACAAAAAAAAAAAAAAAGCGATGTAGCCTCATTGCCCAAGGTGATATAATTAGTTCAGAGAGAACTTCTTAGAAATCTGATATAGTTAGCCAAAACGGCCTGCTTTATAGAATAAACCTCACGCTGACAATTTTACTTTACCAGTTCATTGTGTCATTTTGTCCAGTGTGGACAAAAAAAAATTTAAAATATTTAATCTTTGCTAGAGTTAATCTAAATACACCAATTGTGTGGGAGTGCATGAGTAGGTAAGAGGGAGGGAGGAAGTACGAGAGGGACAAAATGAAGGGAGAGGGAGGGGGAAGGGGAGCCAAAGGGGGAAGGAGAAGAGGAAAGGAGGAGGAGAGACAGAGAAAGAGAATATGCACAGATTTGCTGGTACTGGGGCCTCACACTCTTGCTTGGCTTTTTCGATCATGACTGGACCTCTACAACTTGAGCATGCCTCCATATCAGGCTTTTTGTTAGTTAACTGGATATGAGTCTCTTAGATTTGTCTGTCTGGGCTGCCTTTGAATCTTGTTCCTCAGATCTCAGCCTCCTGAATAGCTAACATTAGAGGCATGAGCCACTAGCACCAGGCATACTGACAATCTTTTAGAACTGTCATGTTTTACTGACAGCCTAAAAGAGTAAATAACTATTTACTAACCACAATACTGCAAGGAAAATGATCTGCCCTGTTCTAATTTTTCCAATCACAATGGTATTGTGACCCAAGCACATTTTGTGAAGAGAGGTTTCCCCATATTCATTCCAAACACTATGCCATTTCATGAATGTGACGTTTATTTTCTATGCCTTTGTATACACCTTTACCTACTGGGAACACAGTTCAGAAAAAAAGTCTTAATTGCCCCCTAAGACCCAGCCTTAAGTACCAACTCTTCTGAGAAGCCCTCCTGATTGCTACTTTCCTCCCCCAGAACTATTAGGGTCCCCTTCCCTTACTACTCCAATACAGGCCATCTCCTTGGGATTACTTCCCCCACACACAGTAGATTTTAATTGCTTTGAGACTCCTCTCACTTTGTTTTTCACAGGTGCTTAAGGAAAAATAGGCAAATGAGATAAGTGATTCACCAGATTGGTAGTATGATTTGATTTCATTGTACAGCAGTAGCCTGCTTTACTAACAGGAGAACTTCAGCTTTCCCAAGCTTAACTGCTAATCACTTTGAATGGAATGATTTTAGGCAAGAACCTTCAGGCTTAGAGCACACAAGCACAACCTCCCCATTCTGTGGGTGAAGAAATTATGGCCCAGAAGAGACAAGGAGGTCTGTCACCTGGGGAGTGAACAAAAGCAGGACCAGAACTCAGAGCTCTGAACAATGTTATCAGCTCAGCCCCCACATGAGTGGCAGCCCCCACCACTTCCATGGGTCTTAATGTCCTGTCTGATCCTCCACATTCCTCAGGTACCTGTTTCAGATCAACCCACCTTCAGCAAGTGAATATTTTCTCCACTATCACACAGATGAGGGTCTAGCTGCCCATTAATTAAGAATTAGTTAAGACAGTGAGCTAGTAGCTCACCCCTGTATCCTAGCTGCTCAGGAGGCTGAGATCTAAGGATCTCAGCCCAAGATAACAGTCTGTGAGACTCTGATCTCTAATTAACCACCAGAAAACTGAAGTGGTGCTGTGGCTCAAGTGGTAGAGTGCCCACTTTGAGCTGAAGAGCTGAGGGACAGCACCCAGGCCCAGAGTTTAAAGCCCCACAACTGACAGGAGAAAAAAAAAAGGAAGAATTAGTAAGAAGACAAGTATGACAATATCATGACCATAAGTTCAACAAGGGAGGCCTGTGAGAACTTAAGTCTATGAGCATCAAGGTAGTATTAGTTAAACTGTATCTATAACCACACATCAATATTTTGCATTTTTAGTTACACAAAGAGAGTACTCATACTATAACAGCGTACAGGCACCATGTTTGAGTAAAGTCATTAATCAACAAGTTATTCATGCCCTTTTCCACATGAAAACCATCCCTAGCTGGAGCCCTGGAGCTGCCTGCCTGCCTGCCTGCTGCCATGACATCATATCTGACATTTTTTCTCCCTTAGGTTTTCAAAATGAAAGTAATTAGATACAATGCTCAAGATTCTTCCCTCTTACCCCATTATCCAATTCTGAATGTGATCCATATCTTAAGCTACATCATAAAGTAAAAACTAAAATAAAATTAGCCAAAACTCCTAAGTCAACCCTGTAATCCTGGCTACTTGGGAGGCTGAGGTTCGAAGTCTAACTGGACAGAAAAGTCTGAGAGATCCATCTCAAAAAGAAAAAAAAAAAAGCTAGACTGGAGATGTGACACAAATAAACAAAAAGTGAATTAAACCTCAAAAATGGGAAGACCACTCCTAAAGAAATGCTACAATGTTACCCCATCTAGAAGTTTCTTTTCTAGGTCTAGGCTGAGCTGACAGTGCCCAAGCTCATGAAATTTTCATGGATAGGTGACTGGGTACAAGAGTCAATAGCACTCACTTAGCACAAGTTAGCCACGGTCAATAAAAAATTGCTAGAGAAGAAAAAGATCTGGTGACTTTCACGCTGTGCCCTTAACACATGTCCCCAACCCTCCCCAGTTAGATAAAGAGAACACAATTCTTCCTGAGAAACTCAGCTCTCAAGTTCACACTTTCCTCCAGCTATATCCTCTTTCTGAGCATCATCTCCTCAAATTAAAAAAAAAAAAGTCTGAAGTTTCTGGATACAGTTAGCTTTGTTATCAGCTGGGAAGCGTATCAATCTGAGACTCAGTAAGTGCTAGAATAAAACAATGTAGCTTATGGAAGGTTTTCCAGGCAAGCAAAAGAGAAATGCGATTCTGATACCCCTTAACAACTTATGTGACACTAGTTTGTTAGATCCCTCTAGAACCTCCACTCCCAGGTGGGTGCCTGAGTGTCTCCATCTCTCAAGGACCTCAGAGACTTACTTCAGAGACAGAATGAACAACCACTCAGAGGCCATTCCCAGGTATCAGGTAAGACTACTGTACATCATGTCTGTCATATACTATCAAAAACCATCTCTCTGGCCTTCCACCAACACTAGCACACTATTCCCACATAAAGAGCTGCCTACACAGTCACCTGTGGACCACAGGATGTTTAAGACATTGCCTGAAGCCTGCATGACAAGGAGATGACTAACTTACAAGGAAAATAGGGAGTTTCACTCTATCTCCCCCCCTCCACCATTTTACACCCATGAACCACAGTACTGACTGCATACTACAAACCAAGTTACAAGAGGGACCTTGTTATTAAAAAATGGCTCATGTAAAAAAGAAAAAAAGCAATCAGGGTTGGGAGGGTGGCTCAGTGGTAGAGGGCTTGCCTTGTATGCATGAGGCCCTGGGTTCAATTCCTCAGCACCACATAGGAAAAAAAAGCTGGAAGTGGCACTGTGGCTCAAGTGGTAGAGCGCCAGCCTTGAGCTGAAGAGTTGAGGGATAGCGCCCAAGCCCAGAGTGCAAGCCCCACAACTGACAAAAAAAGAAAAAAAGAAATCAATGAACAGCTAGAGGCTTAACAGGTGTGCCAATTTGTTCACTATATTCCATATGCTGAGGTCCCAGTGGCCACTTTAGCTGCTACTTAGAATACATTTTCCCTAGGATTCCCACAAAGGTTTACACACCTCGTGACAAAATTTAAGGATTCAAAAGATAGTACAGGCTAGGCACCACTAGCTTACTACCCACTCGGGATGCTGAGATTTGAGGATTATGGTATGAAACCAGCTCAAGCCAGAAAATCCATGAGACCTTTATCAATTAACCACCAAGAAGCTGGAGGTGGAGGGCTGGCTCAAGTAGTAGAGGACTAGCCTTGAGCCAAAAAGCTAAAAGGCAGCACCCAGGCCCTGAGTTCAAACTTTAGTACTTGCAAAATCTTAGCACACC